TGAATAAATGTGCATTAGTAATATTTTGCTTAAGAGAAGCCAAATGCTTTTCTTCACCCTAACTGAAATTATGCATTTTAAATTTGAATATAATTGTGTATTTTGATAATATTTAAGTACAAAATTCTAATTTAGTTTTTCAGCCATTTTGACAGCCCTAGTGTTCAACAGAAGAAAGAATCTTATTCAGGTTTGGAACAACTTGAGGGTGAGTAAACAAGGACAAAATTTAAATTTTTGGGTGAACTATCCCTTCAAAATAGGTCATGCATAAAATATCTTCCTTCAAGTGCTTTATTTTTTTTATTCTCAGGTTCTGCAGGGGGAAAAAACAGAGGTTTTGTGTTCACATTCACTCACTTCAATGGATGTATCATGTCCTCTCCTCTCCGTCGACCACCGTTCCGGCTCCTGCTGCTCTGGCCGCCCATAAAGCCGAACAGACCTCCGCCAAAGATGTGAGAGAAGATGTCCTCCATTCCGGCTCCTCCACCGCCACCCTCACGCAAGCCCTGTTCCCCATACCGATCATACAAATCCTTCTTCTCCGGGTTAGTCAGTACCTCGTACGCAAAACTGATCTCCTTAAACTAAATCAAACAGGTCAAATTATAATTATCATCATCGCTTTCAGATCTTAAGTTGCATTTCGATAAAATGAGAACTCACCTTGTCACCTGCATTAGGGTTTTTATCGGGGTGGTACTCTTTTGCTAATTTCCGGTATGCCTGAAAGTAAAAAAAAAATCACAAATACATTACTAATTAATGACATTTAATAAGGCCAGCAGTACTATTACTTATAATCAGAGTTAAGTTTGAAACTTTGATGTTCAGTCTGACAAATATTAATTTCCCACAGATTGACACTGAAAGAGGGACTGGCACCATAGAAACAGTAATATCACAGAGACTTGAAGATGAGCTCTTTTGAGTTAGCTAAGTTAATAAGTAACCACCTAGCAATGACCACATTCACCCTAGCAACCACCCACAACACCCTTGCATGCCGGTTCTAATGTTTTCATTTCTTATTAATGTGCAGCTATTTAAAAAAGTACTTTTAATTACATAATTAAATAAAAATGTACAAATACATTTTGTTTTTAAAGTCGGTAAACTAATTTATAAGAAAATGTAGCTTGAGAATTGTTTGGGGATTTTGATTCCCAGAATCTGAATTGGATCAAAGATTCCCATGCCTAGTTGGCAATACATTTATTTATTTATTTTTCATAAAACGTAAAAAAAAAATAAAAAAAAAAAATGGGAATTTGACAAAAAAACATGGATATTTTTAAACATAGTTTTTTTTGGTTAAAATGTATGTATTGTACACTGTGAAAAATATTTTTTGAAGTTGTCAATTAAAGACTATTGGAGTACATTTACATAACTATAAAAAAAAATACTACCTCATTTTTTCAACTTCAAAATTTCCCATTTAATTCAATTTGTTAGTTCACGTTTCATTGTAATGGTTTGTGAAATAACTATTAATTTCAAGAGTGAAAATTATTTCTGCACCCTTTTTTTTTTCTATAAAAGTGTGTATTTTTATGCAATTGAAAATGTTTATTTAAATAGTCTTGCATTTTGGCAAATTTATTTTTGATTGATAAACAATCGTGTCTTTTTTGGATACGAAATAAGTGTTAATATCGTTATATCTTTGATTTATTTGTTTTTTTTGTGTGTGTGTCATATGACACCTCGGCCTAAAACCTCAAATAAAGTTTTGATTACACATCATGCTGTAGTCTCAGAGGACTTGACTGGATTTTAATTTCATTTCTTTTTGCTTACACAGATTTTAAAAAAAAAGATTTTGTGGTGAAGTAAATACTACAGAAAAACAATCAGGGTATCTTCCGTCCAATCAGTTTTTGTTTTAATATTGAAATCTGAAAAATGAAAAACGGGCACATATTTCGTTTTTCAATTATTCAAACAAAACGAAAAATCAAGAATCCGGCTTAATTTTTCGTTTTTACATTCAGGGATAGAAAACGAATAAACAACTTGAATATTCGATCTCTACATGTGGGCGGGAATGAAACGCCCCTCTCTGCTAATTGGTCAACCAAACATTACAACATAATAATAGTCCTAAAAAAACCTTAATAATAGTCCTCCGCTTCTATTGATTCTTAACATGTTTATTTCTACTACATTTGATCTCTTCATCAAACAGCCAGATTAATGAATGGCTTGACACAAACCATACTGAAGCAGAGCCTTTTGGCCCTAGGCATGCCTGTTTTATTATAGTTATCCACCTATTAAAATATGTGTGGAAAAACTGCAGCACGGGGAGAATGTATTGACCACTATCAATTTATGTGAACAAACAGTCATAACTTTTGTTTTAGACAATACGCTGCAGTTTAGACAAAGGAGGAACTTAAATAATATTACAGATATGAAAATAAATGACTTTGTGTAATTTACCTTCACAGCACATCTATTATTTTTCTATTTTGAGTTTTATTCATAGAGCACTTTATACAAATTTAGGAAATCATCTGTTATTATCCCACTGGCATGGGACTATTTGTTCCTATCCCTGAATGTAAAAACGAAAAATTAAGCCGGATTCTTGATTTTTCGTTTTGTTTGAATAATTGAAAAACGAAATATGTGCCGTTTTTCATTTTTCAGATTTCAATATTAAAACAAAAATTGATTGGACGGAAGATACCCTGATTGTATTTTACTTGGAATTGTTTTTTTTTGTTTTTTTTACAAAGATTGTTTAAGTAAATATCAAAGTCATGATCCCGTTGTTCACATGAATAATGAATATGTAATTTGCTGTTTTGTGACATCTGGAGTTCATTTTCTACTCAAAATGACCCATTCATACTCAAACACTATTCACTGATTGTTACAGTCATTGTGTATCACGAGCCAAGTACTGAGGTCTACATGTGTTCATTCAGTTAATATAACTATTGAGTAAACATATCACCTTAAAAAGCATAATGAGCTATCTACTTTCTTACATGCATGTTTGTAAGTGAACCACATGCTTTATTGGCATTTTCCAGTGCTATGTTGTTTGGGTAAAGTTTACACACTGAGTAAAATGTACATAGGCTACTTGAGTATAGCAGGATAAACATAAAATAATTAAGTAGAAATTACTCATCAAACTTTAACTGGCCACGTTACATTTATTTATTTCCTTTGCTATTTTTACATAACTTAGTTAAGTGATTTTACTTAATTCCATACTTTTAAAAAAATTACTTAAAAAATATGTGTGCAAAAACTTGCAAAATAAAAAATTAAGTACATTTTACTTGTTGTTGTTTTTCCAGTGTAGTTTATTTGTTTACAGGGGCAACGCATATTAATAAACATGCTTGTAAATGTGCCAGAATTAGCCAAAGAGGCTATTTTTCATCTGTAGACCCTTGACAGAATGTTAAAAAGTCACCCTAAAAACAAGACAGAGCATCTTGGACACATATTACAACCAACAAAGAAGAAGAGATCAAAAAGTAGAAAGCTAAAAAAAACAATACAAATACATGATTGCACATAAAAATCAAACTAAAACATAATACGTTCTGATAACTGTTATGTTTAAATGTCTAATTTTCATTTTAAAAAATCATTAAAAGAAAATATTTTGATTGTTTTTATGTATATATATTTAAAATGATTTTTTAAAATTAAATGTTTATTTTGTGTTTACATGCATTTATTGGCGTCCTTGAAAAAAAGGATGACGAGTAAACTGAATAAAGGTTAAACTTTCAAAAACAAGTTACAGTAACTGTATATTGATATTCATAACAGTTGTGACTATATTCTTACAAAAATACCATTTTATATTTGATGTTTTTGTTTGTATATTTTTCTTAAAATAAGTTAAATTATAATATATTTTTATACAAAATATTTACATTTACATTTAGTCATTTAGCAGACGCTTTTATCCAGAGCGACTTACAAATGAGGACAGTAAAAGCAGTCAAAACTAACAAAAGAGCAACAATATATAAGTGCAAATGACAAGTCTCGGTTAGCTTAACACAGTACACGTAGCAAGGTGTGTGTGTGTGTATATATATATATATATATATAGGGCTGGACAATAATTCAATATCAACATGTATCGCGATATAATTCTTTTCAATAACGGTGATATGATTTTTAAACACATTTCCGATATTTTTTGTTTTTATGTTTTCTGAAGCAACTCGTAGCAGGTTTCATACTCGTTATCCTGGTTAATGCACGTTTCAATCTATAAGAATAATCAGCCTACACTACCAGTCAAAGGTTTTTGAACTGCAAGATTTTTAATGTTTCTTAAAGAATTATCTTCTGCTCACCAAGCCTGCATTTATTTGATTTTATAGGAGTAGGTTTCATAGAGTTGGCAAATTAATTTTTCATAAGTTTGTAGATACAGACATCTGTTGTGGCCGTTCTTAGCCGTTTTTATGAGGCTTTTTTAATAGTGTTCATATCGATATCGGAATTATATCGTATCGACCGAAATTAAGAAATATATTGTGATATAAATTTTGGCCATATCGTCCAGCCCTATATATATATATATATTATACACACACACACACACATATACACAAAGAAAAACAAGTAGATAGAATAAAGAGAAAGCTAGTTTTTTTTTTTTAAATAAAGAATAAAAAAAATACAAAGAAGATAAATATAGATGAAGTAGAATTCAAACAGAATAGAAAGTGTTAGAGTTAGAGGGTCAAATAAAGGTGGAACAGATGGCTAAGGACTCAGCTGCTGGGATTGAGTTGGGCAGGAGGGAACAGTTAATGAAAAAGTCCGTGAAAAAATATTTTTATTTTTATTTAAAATATATAATCTTAAAACACCATTATAATGTTAATAAATATAGTGGAGGATATATAAATTTTATATTGTATAATAAGGAATGATATGCAGCGCTTCCGTTTTGAACCGATGGCCCAGGCGCGTTCACACACACACAATATGCGCGTCCGCGGCTCCTGGTCGGCCATTTTGACTGGAGAAATAATGTCAAAATCTTTTTCTGCTCACGGTTTAAAGCTGTGAAGGGCCAGTGCTGAAGCAGGGCTGCGGAAGGAGGGGGACATCGGGGGGTCTATGGATGCAGGACGATGCATCTCCAATCAAACATCACATTTCTCCTCTGACAGCCTACAGAACAGCTCTGATCACAGATCGCTGCTCGTCTGACACCTCCCAGTGTTACTGGTAAGTTCACTTTATTTGTTCATAGCAATGCTATTTATCGCCGTTTCAGTGCGTGTATATTCTGGTCGATCGTCTCTTATGAACGCAGCAGAACAGCGTTTATGATCTGCATATGGACTCACGTGAAATATGAGCAATGATTAAATATGCCATGATTATGTTAAACACAAATGCCTTTCACCTTGAAGTCTATGCTCATTTACTCTGAGATCAGACAAGACGGTACGTCGTAATATTGCCTCGACGTGCTATTATTTGGGCTCCGGAGTATGTTTACTTTTGCTTAAGCTAACAAGCTTGATAGGATTTGAAGGCTTTTGGCAGTGGAGGCGTTTATAATGCTTTGCCACATCCAGTAATCTGGCATGCAAATTCCCAGCGTTCTGATTGGTGTGTCGAGTCTCGCCTCTGCGTTCTGATTGGTGTGTCGAGTCTCGCCTCTGCGTTCTGATTGGTGTGTCGAGTCTCGCCTCTGCGTTCTGATTGGTGGATCACGGACAGTGACATTGAGCGAGGCCGCTGTGTGTCTGTCTGACATTGATCTTGAACGAGGGGTTTGATTTCGACTCGTTGCCATTAAAACGTTTCGTGTGTAATTTAGTGAAATATAACATGGGAATGTTATATAATGCACAGTCTTCAGATTGTCACCGAATGCCTGTATTTCTGTCACACACGTCAGTGTGAGGCGTGGACTAAATGATTTGATCTCACACACATGTTGATCTCTGCAGCGTCACCAAACGCACGTGACTTCAGTTCTTCAGTACGGTGTCCGGGAGGTGACATGGTCGGTTCACTCGTGGGAACGTGATATTATGTTGAGGGAACGACATATTTTTCTCATGGCCACAACGTTACCTAGTTAACGTTTTGTATAATTATGCTAGCATTTGCTAGCCTTCCATATATTTTGCAAATAAACGCCTGACAATTATGCCAATAAAGTTTTGACTTTATGATTGTATGTGTGCCCATGTGTGATGATAAATGAGCCTGTTGTGTTATCATTTACAAATGAAATGAGCTACGAGAATGATTCATTCCTCAACGAAACACTATAGTATTTATAATTATGGTCTATTAATTAGCCGAAATAAAATGAAATGTATGTTAAATTTAAACTGCATTCCAGCAAAAATTCCAGTCAGCATTTACAGTAGGCTATTATTTACAAAAGTATTCAGAAAGTTAAGTAAAGTGATCGAAATGAAGGGGAAAAATTAATATAAACGAATATAAAAATATAACCAATAATAATAGGCTAATAATAATATACAAATATTATGGGAAAAAGACGATCAGTTAATGGATTTACAAGACTGTAGGATGGATAAAATGTTTTCTTGTAGGCCTATTTTATATTATGCACTTTGTGTAACATTTATTCAGGATAAACTTCATTTGAATGCTGACTATCGCACGTAATACAGTTCGGTAGCCAAGGCCTATGGTTAATATAATAATTTAATGTAATAATTTCTATAATAAATAATATAATAATTTCTTAACTCAAAATAAAATATGAATGAATCCATCTCTGATAATCCCGGGTTGCTATGGTCACTCAGGTTTGTTTACGCATTAAACTCGTGGCCATGAGAAAAATATGTCGTTCCCTCAAAATAAGAAGAAGTCGTGGCCACGAGAAATGGATGTCGTTCCCTCAATATAGCATCTCGAGGCCAGGACATAATATCACGTTCCCACAAGTTAATATGACGTTCCCTCAAAATAATATCTAGTGGCCACAACAAAACTAAGTGAACTGACCATGTCACCTCCCGGGCACCGTACTGTAGTATTTGCTCACTGGTGTTCATAATGTTAAAAACCTCACTTTGCCAGTTCTACACTGTCTGTCTGTCTGTCTGTCGTTCCATCTATCTGTCGGTCTGTCTGTCGTTCTATCTATCTGTCTGTCTGTCATTCTGTCTGTCGTTCCATCTATCTGTCGGTCTGTCTGTCGTTCTATCTGTCTGTCTGTCTGTCGTTCTATCTGTCGTTCTGTCTGTCGTTCTGTCTGTCTGTCTATCTATCTATCTATCTGTCTGTCTGTCGTTCTATCTATCGTTCTATCTATCGTTCTATCTATCGTTCTATCTATCGTTCTATCTATCTGTCTGTCGTTTTGTCTGTCTGTCATTCTGTCTGTCGTTCCATCTATCTGTCTGTCGGTCTGTCTGTCGTTCTATCTATCTATCTGTCTCTCTGTCGTTCTATCTATCTGTCTGTCTGTCTGTCATTCTATCTATCTGTCTGTCTGTCTGTCTGTCTGTCGTTCTATCTGTCGTTCTATCTATCGTTCTGTCATTCTGTCTGTCGTTCTGTCGTTCTGTCATTCTGTCTGTCTGTCTGGCGTTCTATCTATCATTCTATCGTTCTATCTTTCTATAGATCTATCTATCGTTCTGTCATTCTTCATTCTGTTGCTGTTTATTGCGCTATCTATCTGTCTATCAATCTATCATCTCTGTCTACCTTGAAATATGTGATCTATATAGTGCTGAAAAAGTCATAAAAATTAATAACAATAAAACAATGGAGATTTCAATAATGCATATAATTTTTATAGTTATGCTCAGCTCTGAGTGTCTGCTCAGTCTTTGAGTGTTTTCTATATAAGTGTGTGTGTGTGTGTGTTGTAATAGATTTGGTGCAGTTGTCTGTCTGTCTGTCGGTCTGTCTGTCTGTCGTTCTGTCTGTCTGTCGTTCTATCTGTCGTTCTATCTATCGTTCTGTCATTCTGTCTGTCGTTCTGTCTGTCTGTCGTTCTGTCATTCTGTCTGGCGTTCTATCTATCATTCTATCGTTCTATCTTTCTATAGATCTATCTATCGTTCTGTCATTCTTCATTCTGTTGCTGTTTATTGCGCTATCTATCTGTCTATCAATCTATCATCTCTGTCTACCTTGAAATATGTGATCTATATAGTGCTGAAAAAGTCATACAAATTAATAACAATAAAACAATGGAGATTTCAATAATGCATATAATTTTTATAGTTATGCTCAGCTCTGAGTGTCTGCTCAGTCTTTGAGTGTTTTCTATATAAGTGTGTGTGTGTGTGTGTTGTAATAGATTTGGTGCAGTAATGGTCTGTGACACTGTTAGATATAGTTTAGTCTTGCAGCTGACCTCATATCCGCTGATTAATCCCATTAAAAGACTAAAAAGGAACATGCTGTCAGTGTGTGTGTGTGCGAACACCTTCATGTGCGTTTGAACAAGAGCTTATTCAGCCCGACTGTTAGTCGTATTACAGAACCGTAATGTGGCTTAATGAAGTGTGCATGGCATGCTTTCCTCAGCTCTCATCTGATGGACTGTTGTTCGTCTCACTGGTGTTAGTCATGTCTTGATGACTTGTCTTTGTCCCTTGTGTGTTGTAATAGATTTGGTGCAGTAATGGTCTGTGACACTGTTAGATATAGTTTAGTCTTGCAGCTGACCTCATATCCGCTGATTAATCCCATTAAAAGACTAAAAAGGAACATGCTGTCAGTGTGTGTGTGTGTGAACACCTTCATGTGCGTTTGAACAAGAGCTTATTCAGCCTGACTGTTAGTCGTATTACAGAACCGTAATGTGGCTTAATGAAGTGTGCATGGCATGCTTTCCTCAGCTCTCATCTGATGGACTGTTGTTCGTCTCACTGGTGTTAGTCATGTCTTGATGACTTGTCTTTGTCCCTACAGGTGCCTGTGTTGTAATGTGAAGCAGCCTTGCGGATGGATGGGTTATATGACCACTGACCACTAGTCTAGTAAACCAATGTGTGTAAACTGGTCTCTGCATCCCAACTAAGGACACACACCATCTGACTGAAGGTAATTCACTGCTTAACATTCTCTATGGGTGAATTATAAACAAAACCAGCGTTATTATCATGACTTAAGTATTTTACACATAACACCACCCTGCATCATGTTTGCTGAATGAAATCCAATACTTGTTTCCTACTAATTTTAAGGTGCTGATTCCAAAAATAGTGGCTGTTTTGCTCTAGCATGTCAGGCTTTCTTATAAAATATGATGCAATTTGTAGCATTTTTGTTATGGACAACCATTTGCAAGGAAGAAGTGTAGTTGTATTATCCTTTAACTAGCAGAAAAATTGCCACAAAGACATGATTTCTGTCTTAGTCTGAGCCAGTTTAGAATTATTTGTTCAATTCCGAGCCGATTTTCACATGTATGAAAGATTCTGAAGACCCAGATGTTTTCAGCTGCATCTGTGGATGTTTTACTACGTCAAACAGCAACTGAAAATGACCGATTTAGTGAAAAACTAATTTATTTATAAACTTCTAAGTAAAGTTAGCCTATTTGACATCGAATGGAGTATTTGAATATATTTTCCACTCTTTTGCAGATTGTAAGTTCAATCATACATTTTAAATAATTATTTTGTCTTTAAAACTGAAACCTTTGAGAACATTTTTATATATATTTAAAATGTGAAAACTCTTCTGTTATTATGTGTAAGTTTTTATTGATGTTTTTAACTCTGTATCATCAAATTAGGCAATATTAGGCCTAAGACATTTTTGTTCATGATGCAAGGCTGTGTTGTAAACAATACCAGCAGTATTATTATGGTGATCAGCTTTAGTATTATACACATAATCCTATGCCATGTAATATTTGGTTTGAAGTCCAGGGACAGTCAAACCTGAAGGCAAATGAAATCAGATCAGCTAATAGTCTTTAATTGACTGATGCAATTGATTCTCAAGCTGCTCAGCAAGAGTTTAATTACAGCTGAATCGCTAATGTTTAATGGTTGCTGTATGTGCTGTTTTGAATATGTTTTATTTATACTGTAGGTGTTCATTTTACTGTGCATTATTTATGCATTGATCTCTTCTGGTGCATTATGCATTTTCTATATCGACGTTTTTGACTAACCAAAATTGTAGTGAATAAGTGGTGACCGGCGGCAAACCCTGTGAAGCATCATCTCGCTTTGTTTTTCTGATATGCTTGAGTAACTCTCTCTCTCTCTTTCTGTCTCAGGCTCTCTCTCTCTCTCTCTCTTTGTGTCTGTAAGCTGCAGTCATGTTCTGGAAGTTCGACCTGCACAACTCCTCTCAGATTGAGAAGCTCTTGGAGAAGGAGGACGTGACCCTACAGGAGCTGCTGGATGAAGAAGATGTGCTGCAAGAGTGCAAGGCCCAGAATCAGCGCCTCCTCCTCTTCCTCACTCGGGACAGCAGCATGCTGGAGCTCCTCAACCTCATCACGCACGAGCCCCCTGCTGACCGGGAGGAGAAGCTGCGCTACAAGTGAGTGAAGAGACTGTCTGGATTATCAACACTTTCTGAGCAGCTCTAAAATAAAACGATTTCAAACTTTGCCTGCATAAAATTTCACTTACCACATAAACCGAGTAAGGGGAGATGACTGAGGACGATGGCGAATGATTTGCAGATCCTCAGTACCACTGACAAACATATAATCTTGTAAAATGTGTGGCAAGTACTGCCGCTCCATAGTATAAACAGAGTATGTGCGATCGCGACTCTCGAAAGTGAAAGTGAAACTAAAAAGTTTCAATGCCAGGTATAATAGCGGCTCCCTGATGCCGAAATATGTAGTATAATTACCCAATTATATAACTGTGAGGAAAAATTTTCGTATCTCGTATTTATTCTCTTTAGGGGTTCTGCCTACACATAATTTTCTTTCCGAACACGGCATTGGGATGCGGGGGGAATGGGGGGAGGGGGCTTAATATCGTGATGTCTATCAGCCATCGGCGATGGCATCGTCTATCGGCCCAACCCTAGTCTGAATATTTAAGCAATATTTGGTCCAGTCTTATTTTTGTATTATGTACATGCAAAAAATATATTTAGCTATTTTTATTATGTTTTCGGTTTCTGTTCATTTTAATTCAAGTTTTTGCTTTTTAATTTTGTTTTTATATTTCTTTTTGCTTTATTTTTTAAATTTCATTTATAGTAAATTTACTTGTACTTAAAAGTCTATTTTTTTTATTTTAGTGTAAGTTTTTCAGTTGTATTTGTTATTTTATTTCAGCTTTATTTCAGTTACTGGAAACAATTAATAATAGTGTTAGTTAACGATAACAATACTGATCTGGCCATTTGGGAGTCATTAGACAAGCTTATTATACAGTCATAATTTGACCATTAAACAACGATTTTTGGCCATATTGAGATTATCGGCTTGGCCGATTATTGCACTTGGATGCTAAACAGTAGTGTTAACCCTATTTTGTCCATTCGCAAATTTACAGACAACCTTGTCAATGGATAACGCAGATTTTCAGTTCCTAAATATCTTGTGAATTTTGAGTAAATGTGATATAAGCTAAATGTAGATGCATTCTTTCATGTGCTGCCATTAAATTTGCACTGTATTTGCGATTATATATCAATCATCCACTTGTCATATATTGTTCTTTCTCTTTGTCTCTCATGCAGGTATGCTAATGTAGCATGTGAGTTGCTGACATGCGATATGTCCCTCATCAATGATAAAGTTGGTGGAGACGAGTCTCTGATGAACACACTCTATAGTTTCCTAGAGCAGAAGTCAGCGCTGAATCCTCTACTGGCTTCCTTCTTCAGTAAGGCCTTCGGCAACCTCATCACCCGCAAGACAGAGCAGGTGCACAAACGCAGGTGTCTCTTTTTTTTTCTCATTTGAAAATCTGTTTTTCTGCAAATTTTCATTCAGCCTTTTGCTCTATTACATTATTTATCAGGTGATTGGTTTCCTAAAGAACAAGGAGGATTTCGTAGGGCAGGTGTTGAAACACTTGGACACGTCGGCCATGATGGATCTGGTGCTGCGTCTCATTAGCAGCGTGGAGCCGGTCTGTCTCAGACAGGAAGTGCTTACTGTGAGTGCACACGACCTCCTGATTCATTATGTAGTGGCCACTTTGGCTCTGTAAAAATGAACTCTCTTACACTTATTCTCTTATTCTGATGAAACAACATAAACTACCAAATTTTGATTGCAACATATAATCATCGTCTGTTTGATTACGTCATTAATTGAATGTTACTGTACATTTCTGCCATATGTACATCAATTTGACAGTCACCACTGATAAGCTACTACTAAATATATTGTCGAAACTTAATTTTCTGTAAAGCTGCTTTACAACGATTTGTATCATGAAAAGCGCTGTACAAATAAGCTTGAATTGAATTATTCTCTCACCGTTTATTTAATTTGTCTACTAACAATGTCCAACATTCATCTCAGAAAAACTCATTCAAATTCAGTCATTAACACTTTAAGCACATCTCAGAAGATATAATGAGTTTAACAGTATACTCTGGTGGAAATCTAAATAGACACTATTAAATAATCCTTTATATACTGTTTAAAAAATTTGATTTCTGTAAGATTTTTTTTAATGCTTTTGAAAGAAGCCTTTTATGCTTACAAAGGCTGCATTTATTTGATTGGAATATACAGTAAAAACTGTAATACTGCGAAATATTATTACAATTTAAAAGAATTGTTTTCTATTATAATGTAATTTATTCCTGTGATGCAAAGCTGAATTTTCAGCATCATTACACCAGTCTTCAGTGTCACATGATCCTTCACAAATCATTCTATAATATGCCGATTTACTGATCAGCAAGAAATATTTCTTATTATCAATGTTGTGCAAAACAGTTGTGCTGCTTCAGATTTTTGTGGAAACCATGATACGTTTTATTTTTTCATGATTCCTTCATGAATACAAAGTTAAAAAGAACAGCATTTCTTAAAAAAACTTAAGACATAATATTATATTATAATATACATAATATTTAAAGACTTGTTTAACTCGTCGTAGTTAATTAGTAGAATAACTCGTATTTTAAATATATTTATGCTGAATTTATATTTAAAGTGTGGGATGGGGGAAACAATAAAATCTGTACGCAGAAGTCATTAATTGAATGCATGGTGAAAAGTTTCCAAGAAAATTTTAAGGTAACCTTAATGAAAAAAGAAAGATTTTAAATCTTTGTATTGAGTAAAAATCAACCCCTGTGATGTAAAAGTGCTCAAAACGAAAGAAATGCCTGTGTCTGTGTTTTTGTTTTGATGTTTCATGTCCTCTGTTGTCAGTGGCTGAATGAAGAGAGGCTGATCCAGAGACTCGTTGAGCTGATACACCCTCACAGCGACAGTGAGGTCAGTCACAACAAAGTTTAATACCTAGAGTGAAGCATTGATGAATAGTAGTGATGCTAGGTTTTTGATCTTGGTACTGAAAAAGTCCTCATGCAACAAAAATGTTTAATTCCATCTTTCAAATATATATCAATAAATATGAATGAAGACCTATATTCATAAATGTGTTTGTGTGTTCACAGACGCAGTCGAACGCATCTCAGACGCTGTGTGACATCATCCGTCTGAGCAGAGATCAGGCCAGTCTGCTGCAGGAGACGTCAGAGACCGACCCTCTGCTCACAACACTAGAGCTGTGAGTGTGTGTGTGTGTGTGTGTGTGTTGTCTCTTTCACGAAAAACTGTGCTTGGTCACGTTTCATGTCAGCTAGACGGTGTCTTGAAACTTTAGCTAGGAATAGTTCAGAAACTTTTCACCCAAAAATGAAAATGATCTGAAACCGTGCTCAGGCCTTCCGAGATGTAGATGAGTTTGTTTCTTCATTGGAACAGATTTGGAGAAATGTAGCATTACATCACTTGCTCAGCAATGGATCCTCTGCAGTGAATGGGTGCCGTCAGAATGAGAGTCCAAACAGCTGATAAAAACATCACAGTAATCCACACGACTAGTCTTGTGAATCCTCAAAATTTACCAACATATTTTTTTAGACATGTTTTCGCTTGTTTTGTGCATATTTTTCTCCTGATTCAGACGAGACAAGGTTTTTACTGAAGAAAACCATATTATGGATAGAGGACTTGCATTTTTCCTGAAAGTGATGGTTTGAAGTTAAAAACATCTAAATGAAGCTTTTCACTTTCCAAAATGTTAACTGATGGACTGGAGTGGAGTGGATTACTTTTGTATTATTGTGATGGTTTTTATCAGCTGTTTAGACTCTCATTCTGACGGCACCCATTCACTGCAGAGGATCCACCGGTAAACAAGTGATGGAAATCTAAATCTCGCTGCTATGCGTGTGTGTTTCAGACAGCAGAATGTCGAGGCACTATTGAAGAACATGTTCGAAGGGGAAAAGAGTGAAGTGTGCATTGTCAATGGAACTCAAGTTTTACTCACACTGTTGGAAACTCGTAGACCAGGGTGAGTAACACAAACACAAGACATATTTCATCTCACATTCAGTGTTACTAATGCGTGTGTGTTTGTGCGTAACAGTGTTGAGCAGGTGATTGACCCGTGCTCTCAGGGATTGGAAAAGTCTTACACTGTAAACAACAGCATTTTAATGGGCATCCAACCACATCTAAAGCACTTCCACCACCTTCTGTTAAACCCACCCAAGGTTGGTCTGTTCCTGCAGTTTTATCACAAGTCTTAAAAACAAAACGATGTCATATTGAGGATGTTTCGACTCTCTGTGCTCAGAAATGTGTGATGTTGACCACGATGGGCGTTCTGGAGGAGCCGTTTGGCAACGCGCGACTGCATGCATCCAGACTGATGGCTGCTCTTCTGTACACCAGAGCTCCCAGAATCCACCTCGAGCTCTGCCAACTGAACATGATCAACCTGCTGCTGGTATTAGTTGTTCTTAGTCTAGTCAACAAATAAATAAAATGTTTTCTTTCTTAGGTCCTATCATTTTTTTTATTTAAAATGTTACATTTGAATCTTTCTGGGTATTAAGACTCTTCAGACAGTATTTCCAAGATAATGTTATTAGATTCATTTTTGTGTTGTAGGAAATTATTTTATTTATTTATTTATATATTTAAATCACACTACTGTTCAAAAGTTAGATTTGTTTATTTGGTAACACTTTACTTGAAGGGGTGTGCATAATCATGACATGACACACGTCATGAATATGAAGGAGGTTTTATGCATGTTTATGACAACTGTCATTAAGTGTCATTCGCTCAGTTATGCCATTTTTAATGCAAATATGACACTATTTGACCTAACCCTAACCTAACCCTACCCCTACCCTTACCCATAGCCCATAACAAAGACATCTCAAACAATGTCATCTTTGCATTAAAAATTACATAACTGAGCGAATGACACAAACATGCATAAAAAACCTTCATATTCATGACATGTGTCATGTCATGATTATGCACACCTCTTCAAGTAAAGTGTAACTGTTTATTTTTAAAGAAATAATACTTTTATTCAGCACGGTTGCTTTAAATTAATCAAAAGTGACAGTAAAGATATTTGTTACAAATGATTTATATTTCAAATAAATGTTGTTCTTTTGATCTCTATCAGAAAAGACAAAAAAAGTATCATGTTTTTTTCAAAAATTAAGCAGCACAACTGTTTTCAACATTGATAATAATGCTTCTTGAGCAGTAAATCAGCATATTAGAATGATTTCTGAAGATCATGTGACACTGAAGACTGGAGTAATGATGCTGAAAATTCAGCTTTGATCACAGGAATAAATTACATTTTAGAATGTTACAGAAAATTATTTCAACTTTTTTTTTATAAAAAAAAAAACAAAACTATTTTTGGTCAAACAAACACAGCCTTGGTGAGCATAAGAGACTTCTTTCTTAAATGCTCTTTCTCAATTTCTCTCTATAGGATTTGTTTTTCAAATTCTCCTGGAATAACTTCCTACACATCCAAGTAGAGCATTGTGTCTCTGCCATCCTTAACCAGACGACACCTATCGGGAAAACACACGACAGTTCAGATCAGATTCAGCTGGAAACACAAGACACACAAAACTCAGACAAATCTGACATGTTCACATGCTGTGACATGATGAAGCATGTAAGTATGACCCTCACTTATTAATAGTGTATTCTCTATTATTTGAGTATAGTCATATATAGTAATACATAATAATGTGTCAAAAAGAATTGTGTGTGTTATAAAATAAATAGCATATTTAAATTTTTTTCACATTTACAGTACATTTTTTGCTTGGAGTTTCACTTCTACACAAGTTATTCCATTTGTTCTGCCTATGGCATTAATTGTCAGAAATGAAAAGGCATCTTGTGAAATATGTGTACGTCAGTGTGATATGTGTGTGCAGCTGCTGAAGGACTGCAGGCTGGTTCAGAGGATTTTGGATGCTTGGGAGGAAAATGACAAAACACAGTAAGGACAAATTTAAATATACGAGAGCTGTGTCAATATGCTGGTTGAGTATTTGTATATTATATTACATGTATAGTAATAAAAGCATCTGTCCATGTGTGTGTGTTATAGGGAAGCTGGAGGCATGAGAAAAGGCTATATGGGTCATATGACCAGGATTGCAAACACAGTGGTGCAGAATGCAGAGAGAGAACAGGAACAGACCCAAATCGCACGGCTAATAAAAGGTAGCTGACTCACACACTGCGAATGTTTTTGGGTGGATTTGTGTGTGATTTACATATTATATTCTTATACACTTTATCTTCAAATATTTGGTATGTTTGTGTATGACAGAGCTACCAGAGGACTATAAAGAACGCTGGGAGCAGTTTGTGAATGAAACGCTAACAGAAACTAACAAGAAGAACACAGCAGACCTGGTGAGATTTCCCACAAAGACAATCGTAGGGAGTATTTTTACATCAAAAATTACAATCTGCAAATCACCTTTAATAAGCATCTTGCTCTTAACGCAGGTGTTCTCAGATTATCAGATCCAGCAAATGACGGCGAACTTTGTTGATCAGTTTGGACTGAATGACGATGAATTCGGAGACCATGACGGCAGCATCAGGTGATTTCCTGTACAAAGGTTTAGATTTAGAGATTGAAAAGGTAGCTGACTCACACACTGCGACTGTTTTTGGGTGGATTTGTGTGTGATTTACATATTATATTCTTATACACATTCTTTATCTTCAAATATTTGGTATGTTTGTGTATGACAGAGCTACCAGAGGACTATAAAGAACGCTGGGAGCAGTTTGTGAATGAAACGCTAACAGAAACTAACAAGAAGAACACAGCAGACCTGGTGAGATTTCCCACAAAGACAATCGTAGGGAGTATTTTTACATCAAAAATTACAATCTGCAAATCACCTTTAATAAGCATCTTGCTCTTAACGCAGGTGTTCTCAGATTATCAGATCCAGCAAATGACGGCGAACTTTGTTGATCAGTTTGGACTGAATGACGATGAATTCGGAGACCATGACGGCAGCATCAGGTGATTTCCTGTACAAAGGTTTAGATTTAGAGATTGAATTATTAAATTAATCCGTAGTTAAATAATTGTTAATTATTAAAATATGTAAAAAAAATATCAAATTCATTTAGATGTACAATATACCTGTTTATAAAAATATTTTTTCTTAAAGTGCTCCTGTTATGGGTAATGAAAGGTTCATATTTTGGTTTTGGGAGTCCCCAACAACAGGTTGACATGCATGCAAGGTCAAAAAACACTTTAGTTATCTTATAATAATCCCAAACGATTCGCTCAATGATTCATTTTTCCAAACCCCTCCTTTGCATGATGCTAATCTGCGGTGATTGGTTGATTTCATTTCCATATCATAATAAAAGCAGCGTTTGTGAGCGCAGTGCTGCTTTGTGTACAGCATTACCGGGGAAACCGCTATTTTACCGCTCCAAAAGCGGCCCCTAGTGGCAAAGAATGAATTTGCATTTTCATTCAGACCAATGCGAAAAGACCAAGAAGTGGGCGGGCAATATGCTAATGTTTCATGTTGACGTCAACATGAAACGGCTTGGGATTCGTTTTAAAAACAACTCGTTTCAATGATTCAGAGTCGACTCTTTCTTTTGAGAGACAATAACTTTATACACGGTGCACTTTCAGATTTAAAACTTTGCAGGATGTTTTCATTCACTTAGAGCTGTGTTACACACTGCATGAAAGGTCATTTTCAAAAATCCATAATAGGGCACTTTAAATTATTGTTTACCTACAGTAAATCTACCATAATTAGAAAAACAAAAGGTTAACATTTGGTGCTTCATACAAACATGCAGTTACACAATGTCCAGCAATTTAATAATTATGTTTATTGATACAGGTTTAAATTTGTTTACATCTCTGTGTCTGTTTTTCGTGCAGCGCCACGTTCGATCGAATCACAGAGATCAAATTTAACCTGGTTGATGAGGGGGTGAGTATTGTCTAATGCCAATTCTTTATTTGTACTGTATTCTTATTAAGTTTAAGTTTATTAAGTCCCCCCCCCCCCATTTTGGGTTATAATATCATCCTTTCCATGTTTTTGTGTTTGTTTTCTTCTTATTTGCACTCTTTTAGCTTCCTTTCTCACTCTTGCTAACCCTTCCTGTTTTTTCTCATCTCTCAGGCGAGCTCTGCCATCTTTGAGACTCGCACAAAAGAGCGAATCCGGCCATTTGATGATGCTGAGGAGGAGGAAGACATTTGGGAGGATAAAGAAATCAACTATGCAACACAAGTGAAAGCCAGAAGCAGGTTCATAAAGCACACACACACACACACACACACACATATTGACATACAAAACAGCCATTGCTCTGACTGCTGTTCGTCTTCGTTAGGTTTGGACTGGTGACAAACGCTCAGAAGAGCGAGGTGGATGGTGGCTCTCGCAGACGTCTGGAGTCACCTGACATGGAGTGGTTTCCAGAGACCAAACAAACTCAAGAAAATACCAAGAACCAGGAAATGGACAAGCAGTCCAGCGATCCACAAAGTACGTTCACAGCTCACACAATCTAGATCTAAACAGCTGATCCAATATAATAACTGACTGGAAAGATGATTCTCACCCATCAGGTCCTGGATGGATAGCGAGTTTTGAAGACGACTTCAGCTGTCGGGATTTCACGAGTATCGTGATGGATACGGGCTCCAGTGTGTGGGGGAGCTCTACCGCCCAGCTCAGTGAGACGGAGGAGAAAGGATGGGCGACTTTCACAGACTTCCAGCCCTTCTGCTGGTGAGGGAGGACTGTGTTTGACTTGATATTGCATATTCATGTCATGTAGACACTGTGCTAAATGTTCTCATGTTCTGCAGTTCAGATGCAGGACCCAGATGCAGTTCACCTGTGGACTCGGAAAATCCAAACAAACCAAGCCAAAATGAAGAAAGTAAGTTGCTTACTTGCTTATATATATATATATATATATATATATATATTGCATCATTCCTCTTTATACTAATGCACAAGAAATAAACATCCTGGCTTAACTATGTAATCTTACCAAACTTTTATAAGCATCTTTCATTTTTGCAAAAAATCATTTTTTTAAAATAATAAAATTATGCAATATTTTAATTTAATAAATTATTTTCTCTATCTAAATGTTATTAGCTATATGAATATTTATTTCTATGTAAGATGCTTTTAAAATTTGGTGTTGTTAATAATATATATATATATATATATAATATAAGATACTTTAGAATTTTGTTCTAAATGTACTTGAAATGGTACATTACTTAATTTATTAAATTTAAATATTACATATTTTTGTTAGTAGTAGTAATGCATTATTTATTATATGTAATAATTCATTATATGTGTATTTCATTTGAATTTTATCACTAATTATTAATTTAAATATTGTTGTTATAATAAATAAATTAATACATTTTCTCCCTCTAAATGCTGTTATCCATAAGAGTATTAATTTTCTATGCAAGATGCTTATAAAGATTTGGTGTTATTAATTATTATTTTTATTAGGTATTTATGGTACTTTTGTTATTTGTTCTAAATGCTCTTGAAATGGTATCTTAACATCAGCTCATGTGTCTTGTGTAAGTTAAAAGCTCGTCAGCGTGTGTGTGGAATGTGTGTGGGGCGAGGAAGGCTCCGCTGGTGGCGTCTGACAGCAGCTCCAGTGAGTCAGACAGTGAGGAAGAGGAGGACCGAACCAACATCACAGAGAGTGTCGCCACAGCCAATGCCAAGGACAACGTTAAACTCCGTGTAGATGCAAAAAATGAGAAGGCAGTCTTCATCAGGTAAAACACACTAATACACATTATTGCATTACATCTAACACCGTGTCTACACCAGACGCAAGCGGCGCGACAAAATACGATATAACTGATTATAATCAGTGATGCTGTCTACACTGGATGCGGCGAAAAACGACAAATCCTCGACAGAAAACTGCTGCCGCGTTCTATTTATGACGTATTGACACAAATTTCAATGATTTTCAACGGTTGCTTTGTCGCGTCCAGTGTAGACAAACTTTAGCTGTTGCGGCGCGACACGACAACTGTCACATCCGGTGTAGACACGGTGTAAGCATTATTAAATTGTTTGCAGACAAGATTGGATATTGACTCAAAACATCTCGGAAAGCTTTATATACACAGTGATGTTCCTTCAATTCTTTCAGTGACACTAATGCCAGAGCAACAGGTGGCATGGCAACAGATGTCATAGCAACAGGAAGCATCCCTGGTACTCAGTCACCCAAGGAGCAGAAGTGAGTGTTTTTCCACTGGAAACTACTGGACATGTAGTTAAAGTGTCTAAATATAGCCGTCTCATTCTGCAAGGGTGACTCCAGTAGTAACGGCCCAATGTAACAGCGTTTCACCCGCCGCTCGCCTCCATCCCCATGACAGCTGTTACTCCACCCATCAAATGTTAAAGGCCGTGGCTTCCTGTTTTCAAACACGTTTCCTTTCCCTCTGGCCGTTTTCGTCGGTCTGCCGTATAGTTATATGGGTGTTTTTGGTTTGAGCATAAGCGGTACTCTAGTTGATCTCGGTCTTCACTAATGAAGACATCTTCACTGTTGGGAACACTGACCTTTGAACCCTGTGAGAGCGGCCCCACTACAGTCTGTGTGTGTGTTTTTTGAGTGTTGTGGAACTAGAATATAATGCACATCCACAGGTGAATTCTCATGTATGCGTAAATATGCTTGGTACATCTACAGGTGTGATTTATGGTGTTATTTTTATGTTTCTAAACCAGTATTTTCCACTTAGAACAGACAAGAGATCAAGTCTGTGTGTATGATTGTGTGTGTGTTCTGTCTTGATCGATATCTCTGTTTGCTGTAGCCCTTGGGCCCGGTACTGATTTGATTTCAGTACTGATTTGTTTGCACTTATGTTTCCACAGCATTTATGTTTCCAGCTTCACTCGTCATCCACAAAACACACATATATGAGCAAAAATAACTGGGAGCAGGTCTCAATATTTCTGTTTTGTTGTAGGCTGTTTTTAGATGAAAGTGTTTTCCTCAGAATTGTGAGAAAAAATGTTGAGATAAAAATTGCAAGATATAAACTCAGAATTGCAAGATGTAAACTCGCAGTTCTGAGGGGGAAAAAAATCTGAATTGTGAGGGGAAAAGTCACAATTATTATTTTTTTTATTCTATGGAAGAAACAAGCTTCCATATAAAAGGGATAGTTCACCTAAAAGTAAACATTTACTCATCATGTTGTTCCAAACATGAATGACTTTCTTCTAAAGAACACAAAAGAAGATATTTAATAGAATGTTCGTGCTGCTCTTTTTCACAGAATGTAAGCGGATGGTAATTTATACTGTCAAGTTTCAAAAAAGACAAAACAGAACCATACAATTAGTCATTATGATTAAAAAATGGACTGAAATATTGTGGAACTGTTTGTGAAAATGTTCCCTCCATCATAGCATTTAAATTTTATTTAGACTTGCTACATCCTGATTGGTCAAAACACCAGAAAAAATGACCTTGTTTGCTTTAAACCTTGTGCATTGTGTTTTATAGCTGATTTGTTCATCTTCAGCAAATGACGATTTAAATTTCGTTGTTTTCCTCACGTTATCGGAAGACTTGGAATTTAACACACAAGTCGTATAGACCAACGTCTCCTTTTATGTTCCATGAAGGAAAAAGGCATGTTGAGGGTGAGTAAATGATGAACTATCCCTTGCAACATGTTTATGTAAGTCCGTTTGATTCTTCTTGTGTCTGTGGTTGGTATCCGAATGAACTCAGGTGAATGTCGTGTGTCTGAGCGAGTCCAAGAACCGTGGGTGCGTGTGCCTTGAAATATCAGAGAATGACACATCAGTGTTTAACACGTGCACATGTATCTTTAATCGCATCTTCCTATATCACTGTCAGGTCTTAGTAATAATTGTCGATGTGTATTCTTTACGATATGTACACTTAATATTATATTTTGTATGACTAATTACTAGCGAAACACTAGAACACTGCAGTGTCCATTTGAATATAGAGAGATAGCAATAAGAGTATGAATCATTTCTTGGGTTTGTTTTCTTTTTTTTTTATTAGTAATGTAGCTTTGAAATGTGCACACAGGCACACAAACTGTTTGGGAGAGCGAGTGTGTGTGAATGTTGAAGAGGCTCGGTGTGTTTTCAGTTTGTTTTTGCACTTTTAAAAACTTGATTTTGATACCAAATGCAATGGGATGTTAGTGGCAGAACGATAACGAGAGCCCTTGGTCGGTGTTTGGTCCATGTGCATTTTTGAGTTTACAAGTCGTTTGTGGTGTAGTTATAATTGCAGACGTTTGCACGTGCGAGTGTGTTTGTATTATGAGACTAAAGAGCGAGACAGGAGAGAAATGTCGACTGATCGGTACCAGGCTCTGTGCTTGAATGTAATTCATATATATTTTTATTTTCTTAATCATTTTTTGCCAAATATTTTCTTTAATATTCCGTCTTTCTCCCGTTATGGATAACAGGGTTCTATTCTCTCCTCACGGAGACTGAATTCTTTCTAATTTCGCATCGTTACTTCATTCATATTTGTGGTTAAATTTAATTCAGCGCTTCAATACTGCCACTTAGTTGTGGCCTTTACTAGAAATAAAAGGGAAGACACTAATCCCCCTTTATCTCGTCTTCCGCGTACATTCAGGTCTGTATTAACCACTTTTTCTGTGTAATCTAGTCCAGGCATTTCCCCCCGATGTCTAGTTGACCTGTCGGATACCGTAAACGGGTTTAGCGAGTTTTGCTGCTGTTAATGATTTGTCATTTGCTCAGATGCATTAGCAGAACATGAACGAGAAGGGAACTGCGTTTTTAATCAAAACTGTGATGTAAGAATTGTGCTAATATAATGCCACAATTTGTGATTCTAATTCTCACATTCGTTTAGTTAGTTTCATATCCCCTTCTTCCACCACACCACCATAAAGATTTTATAGCTGAATAGATGCATCACAACTTGTATTGTGAAATCCAGGTTTCTGTTGTTGGGTTATTTTCTCTTCAGCTCTTGTATGTCTTCATGTACCCAAAAACACAAACGCATACTGTACGTTATGAACTGGTACAATATTTTGTGTTATGTTCTGCCTTGAGCATCTGTCCATAGTGTGAAAGTGGAACACAGGTCTGTTGTCATTTAGTCCAATGCCTTCTTAATGTATACTGATGCTGTTGGTTTCTTTTTATTTCCTTTTTTTGGTAAAATGCAATACTGTATCTGTTGTCAGAGTTAGGCTTTAAAATCAGATATCAAACAAATAAATATTTCAAATGGGTTTGTGTGTCAAATGTGTTAAGCCAAAACTCCTTTTTTCTTTCCAAATGAATAAACTAAAGTTATGTATATGCACAATAATTAACTAGTTAATACTAAAACATTGGTTTAAGGTCATTTTACAATGTATAGTTCATCTGGCTAGAATGGGGGTTGCCAATGATGAATGCGGTCTACATTAAGCAATGAAATTTTACTCTTTTTTTTTTTTTTTTTTAAGTGTCAAAATGACAAAATTGGGTGAACAAAGGTAAGGTAACACGTTACAAAAAGGTCAGATTAAATTGTTAGTTACTGCATTATCATTAACAATGAGCAATGCATTTGTTACAGTGTTTAACATTTGTTAATGGTCAATGGTCATTAACTGTTTATTGTTAACGTTAACACGCTTCCATTAAATAATGTTAGCAGGTACAACTTGATTAATGTATTAGTAAATGACAAACTTCATTAACTACTTTTAACTAATACTTCATTAAATATTTTTCATTGTTAGTTCATTGACTAATGCAGTTAATCTAGTTGTGACCTTATTGTAAATTGTTAACCAAAGGTACAGCCTACGTATAAACTGTGGGGGGGAAATTAATATAAATGTGCTAAAATAAAATAAAAAACTTCATGTGCTTCACGTTCAATACAAGTGAAAAATTGAATTGTAATGTTCCTGTACTTTGGCAAATCAAGTCAAGTTTATTTATTACACAAATTTCTTACACATGAATCATTCAAAGATCGAGACAAAAAAACGTTTAAAAATCATTTCAAGATAATAAAATAAATGTTATAGAAAATTATGAATGTGATCTCAGATCTCAACCATTATATAGCCTTAGGTTTATTAATGACAAACTATATTAACATGTTAAATAAAGTAGGTCCATTATGCATTGCAAAACAATAAGTATTATTCTCTAAATTGTTGCAAATTGTTTAGCCATTCGGTGCCTGATTAACTGCTAAATTAATTTACGTCGGTAACTGTATAATATGGTCTCATTTGTTAATGCATTAGCTAACATTAACAATGAGCAATATATTTTTAATGCAAGTTAATAGTTCATGGTTCAGAGTGGATTCACTAACACAACTTTTGATTAAAAAAAAAAAAAAGAGCACGCAAATTTAGAAACTAACCTATATTAATAAATTATGTAAAAGTATTGTTTATTGTTAGTACATGTTAACTAATTTTAATCAAATGAGAACTTCTTATAAAGTGTTAACTTTATACAATTCATAGATTTTTAAATGCATTTTAAAATGTCCAAATGCAAGTTTGGGTACACCATACCTGATGATTTGCCTTATGTCATCATGAACATGAAACCAAAGGAATGAACAAAACTTCACAGAAAATGCCATGACTGGAAATGACACCAATCCTGTGTGAAGTGCACTGAAAGTGAAAGTTCCCCTGGAGGCACAAGAGGGCGGTGCCCTCAGGTGAAAGCAGGCGGGGCAGCTTGGGGAAGTGGGCGTGGCTTTGAGTGTGTAAGAGAGTAAATATTTTTCACTACTGGTGGAACCTGTCCGGCTGCTTTACCGGAGACAAGGAGACTCAGCCTGAAGTGTAGGACGCACAAAGAACAGCGGAGAGAACACAAACATTTACCAGCAAGAAACCAGAAAGAATGCTGGACGGAGCAACAGTCTGGACGTAGACCAGGATTGGACATCATGTAGATGAAAACGACATGCAGTGTGTTTGTGTGTTTGTTTTGTTCATAGGTGTGTTTTTAAAGTCTGAATGAGGCGTGTGTGTTTCTGAGGGCCTTTAATGGGTAGAAGCATCCTGGATATGGGGGGATGTCAGAGTTACAGCAGCTCTGATGAAGAGGATGTCCGCGCTCTGAAGGCAAACTACACCAATGTCAGCCTGTTCAAAGTGTGAGTATATACTGCACCTACGCACACTAGATAGGCAGTAAAATAAGGAATGCATACATCAGACAAATGTCTGCTGAAGAGATAAGCACCATGCATATCTTCAGAGAGAGAGAGAGAATGTGTGTGAGCATATAAGTAGTTTCAGTTGGGCTTCTTGTTGGAAAAAGCTTGAAAGTCAAAGGAAACTTCCACAAGTCCATGTGTGTTTGTGTGTGAAAACATGGACTCTCTGCACAAGGGTTTATGGGTAAACACACCTCCCGCGGCCTGTGTATTTACATTCCGCACACCCGTGGCATGAGTGCAACTGGTTACTTTGAAGAAAAAATGCATTGCTTGATTAGAAAATGTTGTCTAAAACCAACACTTTATCCTTCAC